CAGCGTACAGATTTATCGGTGAAAATAGCGTTGAATTACTTTGCCAGCCACGAATTAGTCGAGCCAAAATTCTGCTCAGCCATTTGTCGGCGGTCGTGATAGTGTGGAACTTTCTAAAGGGTTTTTTGGGCAGCCTTTTTGCCGCCTTATCACTCGCCGTGTGGTGCCGGCTTAGAATAGCATCACCCCAATTCTACCCGTGGGTGTCGTAAAAAGCGACTAAGGGATATTCATCCAGGGAATGGGCAGCAGCGTTCCCTGTAAATGTAACATCTTGGCACTGCGCTCGCCAATCCGCCTGCCAAGCGTGGTGAGTATGGCAATACCCCCCGATTGGGGGAGGCCCATGTCCAGCAGTGGACTGTTGTGGCTGTTATGGATGGATGGATCACTGGGAAGTTAATGATACGCTTTCCCGCGAGACAATATCTCAGTTGGTACGTGGAATACAGTTTTGAAAATTGTAATCCGAAATTTTAATCTGAAACCCTGCGTCAATGAACCATTAAGCCGCGAACCGTGCAGTCGGTAAACCAGTAATTCGGCAAGAGGTTAAGTCGGTGAAACACTAATGGGTGTATCGTGCATCGGCGTAAAGATTTATCGGTGAAAAGAGTGTCAAATTACTTTGCCAGCCACGAATTAGTCGAGCCAAATTCTGCTCAGCCATTTGTCGGCGGTCGTGATAGTGTGGAACTTTCTCGAGGGTTTTTTGGGCAGCCTTTTTGCCGCCTTATCACTGGGAAGTTAATGATACGCTTTCCCGCGAGACAATATCTCAGTGGGTACGTGAAATACAGTTTTTAAATTTTAATCTGCAATTTTATTTAGAAATTTTAAACTGCGTCAATGAACCATTAATCGGCGAACCGTACAGTCGATGAATAGTAATTTGGCAAGAGATTAAGTCGGTGAAACGTTAATCGGTGTATCGCTATTAGGCATACAAATTTATCGATGAAAAGAGTGTTAAACTACTTTGCTAGCCACGAATTAGTCGAGCCAAATTCTTCTCAGCCATTTGTCGGCGGTTGTGATAGTGTGGAACTTTCTCGAGGGTTTTTTGGGCAACCTTTTTGCCGCCTTATCACTCCGAAGTTAATGATACGCTTTCCCGCGAGACAATATCTCAGTGAGTACGTGGAATAACTGTGTTATCAAGTAGGCGGCGGTAGAGGGCGCGCGGCCGCACATATGAAATATTACGCACTTTACCACCTAATATTGCGATCTCGTGCAATATGAAAATTTATTGCAATTTATGTGCGTGCGGTAAAAATGAGGCGAGCGCCGTTGATAATGTGAAGTACTCTATAAAATATATTTCTCAATTTATTTCTTAGAATTACCTCAGATTTTTTTTTTATATCAAGTTTGATAGTTTAATAAAGTACTTGATTCAATTTATTGTCAATTTTAAGAAAATCACTACCATCATCCTATTAATCTAAACGGCAGGCTACTTTGAAAAATTAAAGGTTTTTCTAATTCAGTAAATGCATTTTTTTACTTGAGAGGTCGTTACGGACCTTTTTAGGGTTTCGTAGTCTACTAGAAACCCTTATAGTTTCGTCAAGTCTGTCTGTCTGTCTGTCTGTCTGTCTGTCTGTCTGTCTGTATGCCGCGCCCTCATATCTTCGTCAGTTTTAGAGCTATCGACATGAAATTTGGTGAGAAGATAGATCGTGTTGACCCAAATATAGAAATGTTAAGAAAAAATTATATTAAATGTTTTTTGGACCCCCTCCCATACAAGTGAAAGGGGGGCAAAAATTTTTTTTTTCTTCTGTAATATTGAGTAGGGTATCGTTGAATAGGTCTTTTAAAACTAAGGTGAGGTTTCTTTGAAACAAAGTCACTAAAATGTTCCTGTCACGAGATATTTGCTTTTAAAAATGACGTTTTTGACCCATAATTTGTTCCAGCTGTAACTTCTAAAGTATAAACGCTAAAAATTTGAAATAAATGTGGCATATAGCTTACAATCTGAAGTTACAATGAAAACTATAACGGATATTGTACCCTTAAAGGTTTCAGAAAAAATTGAGGTTTTCTATTTGCGGTTGGTCATCATACTGCTGCTAACAAACCAGCAACAAAATTAAGTTTGTAATGCTGAAAAACCTGATATTTAAACGTTGACTACGAAACCCTATTTGTGGGCGTGTCTGACACGCTCTTGGCCGGTTTTTTCAATTAAGAACGAAAAAATCTGTAGAATGTAATTTTTTCTTTTGATAAAATTAATTGAATGGCTAAGTTGTAATTTATGGGTACGATAAAGCTAATTATAACTTTCTGTCTAGACGGTCTACCTGTATATTTAATTTCATTTTCAATTTCGTATTTTGCAAATAGGTTTTGATTCTAATTAAAATTGTGTGTGCCTAGATTACAAATAAAATATAAATGTATTTTTTAAATTTACTAGATGTAACCAAACTACAAACAAAACAGCCAACGAAGCCAAAAGGAAATTATAAAAAGCGGAAGTCATAAAATTCATTATTTGTAACAAAATGGCCGCACAAAAACAAAAGCGGATGTCTACGTCGAGTGTTGGTGGGGTATTACCATAGACTTATATATGGTATTACAGAGTATTTGCGAAAATTTACGTGTAAGTATAAACGTAGTAACTCGGTACTTTTTTAATCTCTACTTCTACTACAAAGAGTTTTTATATTTTTGAGATTGTATCATATCAATATATACGATATCTATCTATGCAAGATCTATGCATAGGTTTGTAAGCAAGGATTGATCTAAGTATAGGTACTAGGTTAGGTCCTACAAAGTATTTTTGAAGAACGTAACGAAACACGGAAACAGTTCCGTAATACGGTAACACGTTAGGAGTTGTGAACGAAATACGGCTACAAATGTATTGAAACAATCGAAACTTTACAAAACAATTGATGGTCTGAAAGATGATTGAGTATAGTATGTGAGTACTCTGAAAGATGATTGAGTATTGGGTAAAAACCTTTCGCTTCGAAAGTGATCTAAAACAGGCAACTAAGACAGTGCCACAAGAGCCATTTTATAGGTTTGTCTTTTATCATATGAGTCTGGGCTTATGACTTTGTCTATATTATTAATTATAAATGAATTTTTAATTAATAACTGCATAAACTATCCCAAACACCTTGCCGGTTTGTCTCCTACGCTAATAATTATAACAGGCCTAAGCTTAGCCGTGTTTGGGCCATTTTAGCTCGAAGAGATTATGCCGAATACTGGCGCCTAGTTAATACCCGTTTTATACAAAAAAAAACTGTTCTGATTAATATAATAGTTTCCATAATCTACTAAGGCAAGTATATTGAAATATTCTAGCAACCATGCCTGTGTCATAGTTTTTGGCTGCTAAAATTCTAATCTCGCATAAAAGGCTTTATTCTTTAATCTTGCGAATCTGAAATCTCAGTAAATAGAGTAAGTATTTTGTTATCTTCTTTCTTCTTTTTCGTGTGGGACACCGAGTCGTTCAACGACCCGATGAACCCTGGTGTCAGAGTTTTTCAACCGCTTAGGTACTGCAAGTAGCAGGCCTCTGACATGGTTGTGTAACGACCGCCATCATAGACAGCAACCGGGACCGATGGCTGAACGTGCCCATCCGAAGCACGGAACCATCTTACTTGCGGACAATCAGGTGGTTCAGCCTGCAATGTCCTAACCAGACTGGGAACAAATTCACAAAGTGATAAATATCAACTTTGTGAGTGACCCCACCGGGAATTGAACCCGGAACCTTCTGCGTGGCAGGCAGTCATACTAGCCACTGCGCCAAGGCGGTTGTTATGAGGCGCTAGTTTAGACATAAACCCACGTAAATGCCAGCTCGGGTGCCACGGCTGATTAGTCACGATAATTCAACCTTGACAATGTCGTCGCAAATACAATACTCATTCATCTCAGCCTATCTTATCTTATGCAGAGGAATTCCTAGAACGTTACAACTTAATTGAGAAATAGCCAGAAATTCACAAAGGCGCAACGCAAATCAAAGTCATAAGAACTATTTATTTATAAAACGAAATATAAGGATAGGTAAGTTCCACAGCAAACAAAATTAGGATAGGTAGATACCATTTTTTATGAATTGTTAAAAATGTGTAAGATTACTGTTCGATTCGAATAAATTGAGGAATATAGCGCGAGCTAAAAATTTGATACTTTGAAACAGAAAAAATATCCTAGACTGGTTTGGGACCGACACGTTCACCCTACGTTTACGCAAACTGTATTTCAAAGCCCCCAACTATTCCACACACAAAAGAGTTAAACGCGGTCAACACATCTCGATATATCAATGCGGGTCGCACCGTATTTTCTCAATACAGAATTACGGGTTGATAATAGCCGGCCGGGCCACATGAATCACAGGGCTCTTCCCTTGTATTCGGTTTGGTAGCTGCCGATAACCTTAATGTAAGCGTCGGCACGGCTGCCGGCGAAAACTGGCGAAACCGTCTTTGTCACGGTCCCTTCCGTACGTCGTTCTATTCTTTTCCGTCGTTTCTCACTTGAGTAATTCGTGGACAATAAATGTTTATTGTGCTCGTTTTGACGGACGATGAAGAAATATCTAGTGAATGAGTTCGTTATGTGTTGGGAACAATGGATGGCTCTCCGCTGTCTTACTAACAAGGACGTAAATATAGTTTCGGTACGCCGGACATAAAGTATGAGACATTTTTACTTATAGAAAGTGAAACACAAGTGTTAAATTTTCCAAAGACGATAAAAAAGTACAATAAAAATGTGTACAAGCGTATCTCGTATATTAATGAGACATTTTATTCGTGCTGTCAGAAGCTTTGTAACCATAATTCTGCAGTAGAATTCTAGTGGTATGAATACCAACTTACTGCAAATCTTAGGCTTCTTCTGTTTCAAGTGTGAGCCCAATGACCCAATAAACTCTGGAGTCAGATTTCTACAACCGCCTTCTGTAAGAAGTCTTTGCCAGACTGATAAATATCGGCTTTGGTAGGTGACGCATCGAGAATTGAACCCGAAACTTTCTGCGTCGCAGTCACAAGCAGTCGCATTATCACTGTGCCTCATCGCCCGGGCGCCCGTCAAATCCGTAAAATCTTAGGCCATGGTATAATAAGATACTCCGCCTGGTATTTCTTTCCGAGACTCGTGAACCACGTGACCAACACAAGACTACGTCATCATGCTTGTGGGTTACCAGAACTACCCACTCTTATGATGATTTTTGTAAATCATTTATGATACTGTTAACTAATAAATACAATTGAAGTGTTGTTGTAAAGTTCAAGTTAATACACACGTAAACCTAAATTATAAAATATTTTAGGTCACTTTTCTGAGATTGAATTTACCCCATAACGTATTTTATTGAAATAAAGTGGCAATACTAAGTGACGTTGTCTTGTGTTTCTCTGGGAAGGAAAGACCATGTTTTATTAGACTATGTCTTAGGCTAATTGCCGAGTGGTGTCGGCTTAGAATAGCATCACCCCATATCTTTTCCCTGAGTAATATAGTTGAATATCGATGTTTAGGTATTACAATTTCTAAAATTGACTGACTACCTGTCACTTCGGTGATAGACAGTCTTCTGAATGACTTTCAAACTTTTGTCAAACGTGGAATTCTATACAGCCGTAGGTCTGATATATGATTGCATACTTAACGGACCGTATTGCGGTTCGTGAAACGCCTATATCTACACAACTAATTAAAGACTGTCAAATAGTATGTGTAATAGATATTTTAAACTACAATATTGAATGTACACGTGAAAATATTAGCTCGGAGTTCGCACTGAATATTTGCGTAGGTACCTAGTAACATTATAATAAAGTTATGCTACCAAATTCGGATTGTCAATGAAAATATGGTTAATGCTGAAATAAACTATGATATTACCACAAAATATAAAGTTTACAGAAGGATCATTCGATCCTATTAAGGATTTTTACGATTGTCACAATTATAGATTGTTACATAGCCGTAAGGTTGCTACTGACGGAAATCTCAAAGTAGGTACCGTTAAGAATTTCAAAACGGGAAACCATATATAAGAACGTTATATGATTGCGAGCCAATTTTAATGTAAGAAATATGACATTCGTGGCAACCAATTAAGAAGTCGGTTGCCACGAATTAACCAACCAACTTCTTAAGATTTAACTTAATTCCAGTAAGCATCAGTAAAAGTCAAAATCGACGCTAGTACTGAGTATGAGTAAGCCATCTGTAAAGGCGCCCCGTGCGCCGTCTCCCTTATTTGTGATATTACCGTTTTAAATTGGAAAATGTTATTTGCAACGGCAGAATTTAATCCAGTGGAATAATTTTGTTATAAGACCCGTGTTTTATTCATTAACTGGTTTTGGAATATTATCTCACTCTAGTAATATGTTGCACAAATATTGCAACCAGATAAGTTAATTTTCCTGTGTAATTTTTTATTGTTGCTTAACATTGGATATTAATTTAGGCCCGTATTTATAAATCGCACTCAATACCGCACTCAATAGCGGTCTCAGCTGATACGCTCTTAAGTTGTGATCATTATCTTAAGATCGTCACATATTAATAAACCGTCATCAAGTGCGTATCAACTGAGATCGCTCTTGAGAGCATGAACTTAAGATGTTTTTGGTTTGGATACTAGACCACAGACAAAGAACTAGTTTTTAAACTTACATTTTGTTTTTGCTGTATTACTTGATTAGAACATTTAAGAACATTTAGGAACATTAATCAAAATATAGGGATAAAAATGTAAGTAGTCACATCTGAACAAAATATTCAGATATAAAATTAATTGATTATGTTTTAAATGATTTTTGATGTTATTTTTAGTAGCAAGCTTACGAGTTTTACGATAACAAGTGTTACGATCTTCTTGGTAAAGATGGAAACAAAACCTATGAAACAAAACGCTAACTGAGTTGTCTATCTGTCACGTCATGTCAATCGGTCCTGTGTCCCTGTATACATTTGAACAAACAGTTAATTTTAAATGAAATCATTGTTTATTGAGACATAAATAGACCGCCATCAAACAAAGAATAGAAAAGAGTGGCAACATCGAATGCCCCTAGTAGAGTGCCCTCAACCAGTATCACTGAGGATGACCAAGACCATTCGCAAACAGCACCAAGGCTTCTGGTTGAAATTCATGGTGCCATTGATTCGGGCGCCTATGTTATATCCTAGGCAGGTATCTAGTATGTGTATTCCAGTAATAGTAAGTAGTTGTTATTTAATTTATATATTAAGTACTTAATTCATGGTCTGGTTAGGACATCGCAGACCGAAGTCTGAACCATATATAATTGTCTGTAAAAAAGGGTTCTGGCTACTGTCTCTGATGGCAGCAGTGGTTAGAAAACCATGTTATAGGCCTATTTACTAGTAGGTAGTAGTAGATACCAGGTTTTGTCTGGTCATACTTCGGCTGCGTGTCCCACACGACAGAAGAAGAAGTAATATCAAAAAGTACAAAAGTATATTATGAATTTAAATACAATCTTATTTGCTTATTTTTACTAGTGTCAAGGCTGTAATGTAATATAATACCTATATCACACTTGCAAAGCCTTAATTACATAATTTAATTACAAGTACAAAGCATTATTAATTTGTAAGTAATTTAACTATATTATCTATTGCAGATTCTAAAGAAGTTCTATTGGACGCTGAAAGTAACCAGCCCGAAATATATGGTCTAAGTAGCAGTGGAGACTGGAGAAGCTTTGTATTAGCTATATTATTTTTTTGTCTTTCTTTGTAATGAGAGCTTAATTAGACATTCTTATTTATTTGTTTAACTAAGGGCTTCAAATTACTGGCATAGTAATAAAAGTCTGGTATTTGATATTGATTATAGTATTTTTATTTACCATTTTCTTCAAATACCTATAAAGACATGGATCTTCTGGAGGAGGCCTTAGGCTTATATCACACAAGCGTTTGACGAGCGTAACGGCTGCGCGTCCGCAACGATTTCGCCTCCGTTCCGCGTCTGCTCGCAACACCCTTGTGAGAAATGAGCCATATACTTAGGTACCGGCACAATGTAGGGTATCCGTTGTCGCCTTTGTCTTCCAGTAAACTAAAGCCTATGTGTACATCACGAAAACTGAATGGGAAAGCCTCTCAACCAACCAACTGGTTCCAAACAAAATAATCACGCGCGAATCAGTAGCACCATGAATTTCAACCATAAGCCTTGGTGCTGTTTGCGAATGGTCTTGGTCATCCGCAGTGCTACTGGTTGAGGGCACTCTACTAGGGGCATTTGATGTTGCCACTCTTTTTCTATTCTTTGTTTGATGGCGGTCTATTTATGTCTCAACAAACAATGATTCCATTTAGAATTAACTGTTTGTTCAAATGGATACAGGGACACAGGACCGAAAAATCAAAACAAACGTTGATTGACATGACGTGACAGATAGACAACTCAGTTAGCGTTTTGTTTCATAGGTTTGTTTCCATCTTTACCAAGAAGATCGTAACACTTGTTATCGTAAAACTCGTAAGCTTGCAACTAAAAATAACATCAAAAATCATTTAAAACATAATAAATTAATTTTATATCTGAATATTTTGTTCAAATGTGACTACTTACATTTTTATCCCTATACTTTGATTAATGTTTCTAAATGTTCTTAAATGTTCTAATCGAGTAATACAGCAAAAACAAAACGTAAGTTTAAAAACTAGTACTTTGTCTGTGGTCTAGTATCCAAACCAAAAACATCTTAAGTTCATACACTCAAGAGCGATCTCAGTTGATACGCACTTGATGACGGTTTATTAATATGTGACGATCTTAAGATAATGATCACAACTTAAGAGCGTATCAGCTGAGACCGCTATTGAGAGCGGTATTGAGTGCGATTTATGAATACAGGCCGTAGAGTTTTTATTGTCCAGTTACTAGGTGACTAACTCTGACATGGCTGTATAACGACTTACGTACGCCTTAGTAATAAATAAAATAATACACAATAGCACGAAACCATGTTTTTCCTTTTTTATTTCAGACGCAGACAGTTTAGCTTCACACAACTGGACCACGGAAGCAGTTAAAATTTACTACTAAACTTCAAAAAAACTTACTTAGGTACTTCGCTGGCTCGACGACCAAAAGTGAGTCTTGATCTCTGATACGAGATTTAGCCATTGCATTTCATAAATGCATAATAATTTTATTAACACGTTGCCTGTCACTACGAGTATACTCGTAGCTAATATTTCTTACGGCATTTGCCACCATACAAAATGGTAGGTACGAGTATACTCGTAGTTGGCAAGGGAGCCTAGTACAGACTACGAGTTAACTCGTAGTGTGGCAATTAATTATCGTTTTTGTATGACACTGCCAACTATGAGTATAATCGTAATAAATTTTGGGTGAAAAACAGGGTAACTCTTAGCCCTGTTCATTTGCGTAAGAGGCAAGACGCATCGCGTGAGTTTCGGCCCACGTGATACTTCGGTTGCGATCGTAAAGGGCGCTACACATCTTTGAGATATACATACATAATGAGTTTCAAATATAAAACGGTTGTATATCTTATGGTTAAAAAAACTGAAGATAATGCTAGACACTAAAATGGTGGTAATGAAACATATATTATTTAGAACGCCTACTACAAAAAAAGCAGAAACCAATAAACTCATGTCGTACCTATGTGTCGCAGTACGATGGCAGAATCAGGATTTTAGCCAAAAGCCAGCATATGGCAAAATTGTAGACATCCTTAGGCCATCATCCTAAGTTGATCCAGGCCGAAATCTTTTGGCTTTTTTTTCATTTCGGGGGAACGAGGAGTGGAGATGTACGGTATGCACCCTCTCCCTCTGGTCTGTTAAGGGTGGAGTTGGACACCCTGAAGGCGTTGGACACCCTGAAGGCGTTGGACACCCTATAAGCGTTGGACACCCTGAAGGGCGGGGGCGTGGGGGGACGTCAGATAGCCTTAACAGCAGGATTGCCTCGGGCGCCCTGGAAAGTAGGGGAGAGCATCAGACAACACAAATAGGATGTACCACTGGCCACTCTGGAGGATCGAAGGT